GAGAACTCTATAAATGGAATTTGAGCGTGCTCATGTTAAACATGGGGAAAATGAGGAAATCCAACCATGCAGTAACCCGTTTCCCGGAATTGTAATCCAGGTCGAACTGCTACTGTTCAGCGACTGCACAGCTCGGCCGCTGGTGAGATAAGTACGACGGTCTGATCAACCAAGAATATATGGGCGTGAAATGAAATACCTTGTTAAATCGTTTTGTGGTAAAAAATTTCTTCAGTTTAGCGTTTATTCAGAAAGGAAAAAAAATCTTTATTTATATTCTGACGGACTAGAACATTGAGAAGACTTAATATTATTTAGAAATTCTGATAAAGAATATAATTGAATGTATTATTTAATATGAAGCATTAGCAGCAAACCAAAGAGCAAAAGAGGAAAATTTTTTTAACATGTTAACAAAATTATTAGCCCAAAGGGCGTTAGGAGGGCTATTAACTTCGTTCTGGCAACCTTAAATGCCCGTTTCTTTCTTCAAATTGTTGCCACCAAATATTATCGCCCTGTATTATATTTAAACTAACTAAATAATGAAGAATCCGTATAAACGTATATATGTTTCTGGCACTGTTATAAAACAACGGTGCCATCAAATTTTGAATAACGTTCGTCTTCACCCAATGTGGGCATCTTGAAAACCAAAATTGGAATTTGTTTCATTATCTATTTGATATTTTGATTAAGAAGCTCAATGATTTCAAAACGAGCAATGGCAACACTGTACGGGAAAAAAAAAAAAATCTCCAGCGCGCAAGACTGTGCATCAGGAATTCTAAAGATATGCGATTTTAAAATTCTTTTGCGATATTGCTGTTGAATTGAATTTTATGGTTTAAATGAGAAGAACATGATCTCTACATATAATAAAAGAAAGAGTTTGTGTGTGTGTCTTTCGTTCGCTTTGCGCGTAAGCTAATTGACCCACGGCTACGAAATTTGGTACATAGGTGCATCTAGACAAGCGCCAGTGCACCTCGAAGCGATTTTTTCGAAATTCGAATTAGAATTTTTTTTATTTTATGTTTTGTGACGAAATCGCGTCATTTTGATACATAATGGGCTATAGGAAAGCGAGATTTTACTCCACACACTCCATTTTAACATCGTCATGAAACGTAGGCACTTAGCTATTTTACGAACTTAGAATAAATTTCGTGTTTCAATAAATCGATTAAATGCGAATTTATTTAACAAAGTGAGCTTAACACCTTTTCAACGGGATTTTTTCTAAAAAAGTTTATTTTTAAAAATGTACAGTTTATTTTTCTTTGATTTTTGGACACGTTAAACTTTCATCTTTGTGACTGCTTTTACAAAAAGAATTTTGAAAAAATGATAATATTTTGTATTTAAAAAAAAAAATTAAATGAAGCTTCCGAGTAAACTTCTCACATCTCACATCCTTAAAAATGTGATTTTGGCAACAATTTTCCTTTCTTATTGTTGTTGATAGATTTTTGATGAAATCGCATCATTTTGAATAGTTTCATAATTTCATTCTTTTAGAAATATGGATTTGGCAACAATTTTTCATCGTATTTTTTATGTCACTGTTTTTAAGAGATTCGCATATTTCATTGTCATTTTTATATATACATAATACAATTTTATTGATTTTTTTTTTTTTTTTTTTTTTTTTTTTTTTTTTTTTTTGTTTTTGATAAAGTTGTTCTGCAGAGTAAAATTGTGCGCGGAATTTTTTGTTTTTTGAGTTGCTTTAATGTTATTTTTTGCTTTTTTCACTGTTTGTAGATATTGAAAAGTTTTGCATGATTTGTTTCCTTCAACGAAAAGTTGGTTAATTTTTTTTATTATAATAATTAATATTTGTATTAAGGGATATAGCTTATATCATTGTAATTTTTTCTCTTGAAAATATAAGATAAAATATCATTAATTATGCTTTGCTTTTCAGAATGTTTTGTTTTTTGGGTAAAAGCGCAGAATAGGCTGCACCAACAAAGTTCAGTAGGAGGAGCTGTGTGACGTCCATAAATGGGTGGGACTAAGCTTATGACGTCACAATGTAGTCTCGCATTTACACTACGTGTACTTTCTACTACTTTCTCTTAAAAATAACAATAATAAATTGTTTATTATTGTAAATTAATATCAAATTCTTTACTTTTAATTTACATTTATAACATTTAAGCATAGGCGTTACTGATAATAAGTATAATAAATTGTTTATATTTAAAATTACCATGATACAGTGAGCGAATTCTACCAATTATTAAAACGATAAATAATGTCGGAGTCTCTAATACTTGTAGAGCTTCAATATTTTCAAAGATTTTTATTAAATTATTATTATTATTTTTATTATTTTTATTATTTTTTTTTATTTATACAAATAAAATATTTTTTTAAAATTTAAATTCATATTGTGGAACATTTCAATTTTATCAATTTTACAAATTACCTTCTTGCTACGTAACGACATAATTTCTTACATACCAATAATTAGACAATTTTCATTATTTCTAAAAATTTTAAATTTTACATTAATAAAAAAGAAGAAAATATTTTTATTGCATATGAACATCATTACACAGAGATTTCATATTACTTTCTAAAATTCCTAAATCACGCCATATTCTGTGTAGGCATGCTAGAATTCTACGCATTAATAAATAAAAAAATCTAATTTCTCAGAATGAAAGAAAATAATATAATAAAATAAATACTACAAACTTGGAACACTAAGCAATGCTTCACATACGCACACACACATACATATTATCAATGAACTCATATTATCAAGTGCAATTACGATACCAAACACTACGTATTAAAATATGAGGTAAACGTTACGTCAAGAGTTAAAGTTAACAATTTTGCTACTGTTGAGCAGATTGTCGGGCTATCGATATATGTCATAAGACGGAAAGCGTTATAAACATATCAAAGCCAAAAAATTAAAAATACAATTTAAATGAAAAATGACGTCTTAAATATAATTCACAATTAAAACAACAATACAAATTTAAAATACACTAACGATATGTTAAACATTGCACATAAATAAAGTTTCATTACTGCTCGGCATCACACACAACCTCGTTTTCTCTTCTACACAACGATCAGTATTCACTCGAAAAACATCAAAGAATTCCACAAACTCGGTGTCCATGTGCTCATCCATCTATTTTAAATTAAAAGGAAAATCAGAGAATTGCTCAAACTCGGCATTGCGCACCATATTGACTTTGACCATGCGCACATCGATCTATTTTCACTTAAAAAACATCCCAGAATTGCACAAACTCGGCATCGCGCACAACCTCGGCATTGCGCACCACATTGGCTTTGCCCATGTGCACATCGATTTATTTTCACTTAAAAAAACATCCCAGAATTGCACAAACTCGGCATCGCGCACAACCTCGGCATTGCGCACCACATTGGCTTTGCCCATGTACATATCGATCTATTTTCACTTAAAAAAAATCCCAGAATTGCACAAACTCGGCATTGCGCACCACACTGGCTTTGCCCATGTGCACATCGATCTATTTTCACTTTAAAAAAAACATCCCAGAATTGCACAAACTCGGCATCGCGCACAGCATTGGCTTTGCCCATGTGCACATTGATAAATTTTCACTTAAAAACATCTCAGAGTTGCACAAACTCGGCGCTGCGCACCACTCAAAATCGTCTATACGTTTCAAAACCGTCTCTCTACTAGTTTCATATTTGTTCCACAAATTGGGCACTTATACGATATTGCAATCAAACTTTTCTCACCGCTCAATAACGCTCTTATTGCCTCTTCGCTCCAACTGATTAAAAAAATCCAGATTCAGATACTCATCCATTCTGCAGTAAGCACCGATTTTAACACACTCATCAATAATCAAAACATTCCTTAAGCAAAAGAATTATTTTCTATATTTTCAGAAGTTACGGTTATAATTTTTAATTCATGCATTTAATATTTTCAGTCGTTTCCTAATGATCGTTTTCAATCGTTTGGTATCTTAATAATACATTTGTGAGAGATAATTCGTTGCGTTAAATGCTAACACTACCACACAACACAGAAAAGTAGATTTATAATTAAAAAAATCTCGCGCAGAACATTATAAACCTACCATTTCAACTCAGTTAAAATATAATTTAAGTTTTCTTTAAATACGAAGCTATAGCATATTTATAACTTGTTTTTAAGAAGAGGCGTAACCAATATTACGTCATAAAAAGGCGTGTCCAAGCATAAGAGAAGTAAACACAGCATCGACTGATGCAGCCTATTCTGCGATTTAGCCGTTTTTTCTATTCTTTTATGTTATTTATTGCTCATTTCACTGTTTTTAAGATATTGAAAAGTTTTGAGTGATTTTTTTAGGAAACAAAGTTTTTAAACCTTCTTAATACCATTTGAGTTCTTAAGATTTTGCAAAGGGAAGTTGGTTAATTTATTTATTAGGATAATTAATATTTGTATTAAGAGGTATTGCTTATTTCATTGTAATTTTATTTCACGTAATAACGTTTATGAAGTTGTTCTGCAGAGTAAAATTCTACGCAGTTTTTAAATTTAACGTTTGGTGTTCCTTTCAGCCATTTTTCCGGTACATTTAAAAGCCAGACGAAGGCTGGCAGCCAAGCTGCTAATATTTAATAAATAAAGATAACACACAAAACGTTAAAAAACGCCCCTTTGGGGGTGATATAAAATCTGAAAGCTTTCAAGTTTTTTAAACATTTTATTATTTGTTTTATTCTATCAGTACTGTATAATATACTTGCTTAGAAATAACGTCTTAAAGATTTGAAATCGTAGGTTCTGCATAACTCTGTAAAAAGCAATAAAGCAAATGTTTTCAGCCTGGAATTAATCTGTAATATAAATTGAATTTTTTTTCTTTCCTTTTTAAACTATATTTGAATAATTTAATGTATAACCGATTTATTGTTACGTTAATAGTGACTTCATCATACTTCAAAGAATTAATATAAATTTTTACTTCTCGTTTTAGATATCGAAATCAAATAAAAATACTGTCGTCTTACGTAATCTTATCCTGGAAAGCCATGGTAACTATACATGTCAAGTTTCCACAGATAAACCCTTTTTCAGATGCGTTCAGTCTACTCGGCAATTGGAAGTTGTCGGTTAGTAATTCTGACAAAATATGCATTTTTGTAACTTTAGCTGTTTTCGTATTACATTGCAACAAATTAAAAAGAACTGTCTTTTGTAGATTAAACAGTTTGAATTAAAGAACTATGCTATTTAAAATTTTTTCAGTGCCACCTTCAGACGGACCAGTGCTTATGGAAGAAAAGTCTGATTATGAATTAGGCGATAATGTCTCCATCTTATGCAACTCAGGAAAGTCCAAACCTGCCCCAGAATTAAAATGGTACATAAATGACCAGTTGGTAAGTTTGTTATATCATTTAGAGCAGATAAAGTTCAATAATGTCATTACTTCAGAAACAAAATATGTTGTCTAATTATTCGCCCGAAATGAGAACCAGTATCATGAAAATCTTTTCATAAATTTTATAATATATATATTACTAATTAATTTGTTACAACTATTATTCAGACTTTAATTTTTACTCCCTAATTTAAGGTTTCTAAAAAAAAAAAAAAGGAAAAAAGGTGCGGGTGTTGTTCTTGTTACTTAAGGTAATAAATAAAACTGTTTTAGATTATCAAGGAAAACAGGATTTTTTTAGGGACATCTGGTGTTAGTTAAAGAAATAACTTCAGATTAATATACCTAGATGAAGTCTAATTCGAATTTACTCAATTGACTACCCTATTTTGCCCACCAGCGGCCGAGCGGTAAAGTCGCTGAACACTGGTAGTTCGGTCCGAGGTTCGAATCCCGCAAACGGGTTGGCTGCATGGGCGTTTTCGTGGTTTTCCCCATGTGTAACGTGTATACGAGCCAGTTTCCGTTAGAAAGTCCTCCACGAAGGCATCCCTCCTCTTAGGCAGATAGCCCTCGAGGCTTTGCCATACTCACAAACACACAAGACTACCCTATTTTCTTTATTCCTTTATTAATATTTATTGTTTTACTTGTTAATTTAGCTTTCTTTAGTGCTTGTGTTCAACACTCCAACAACAAAATTTTTGATTAAAGCATTTTAGCAGTTTTTAAAGTTCTCGCATTAATGTTACATTTTAAAAATGTTAAATATTTAAAACATTTTTTAGCTATTATTTTAAAGATATCTGTAGCTTTTTTATATATTTTTTGTCTTTTTGTTTAAATAAAGACATCCTGGATAGTACTAATTTACATTACCACAAAGGCAGACGATCGCTTTCTGTTGCTATGTGCAAGAAGCCGTAGATCACAAGCAGAACAACAGCTGACGTCGCATAGCAGAACAACAGCTGTCTACAGTTGCAAAACTGTGTCGCGTCGACTGCTTGAAGGTAGACTGTACATTCGACAGCCTGTGGTTTGTGATCCTTTGTCTCCATAGCATGTCAGAGCGCGGTTGAAGTGGGCCCGTAAATATCACTGTTGAACACTAGCGCATTGAGGCCATGTACTTTTAAGGGGGAGTCTCGATTTAATATTTAGAACGATTCACGAAGGGCAATGATTTTGCGAGATCCAGGAAGGCGCTATCGAGCACCAAACGTTGTCGAAAGAGACCATTACACAGGACAAGATTTACTTGTATGGGCTGGGATAGCAACGAACGGCTTCACCGACCTCTGCCTGCTGGCTCCGTCACAGCCGTCCGATATCGCGAAGAAATTCTATTCTTGTGTGTCCTTTTATTGCTGCAACGAATATCGTGGTAATATTTATGGTCGATAACACCCGCCCGTATAGAGTTCAAGTGGTGCGGAGTTATCTGGAGAGTGAAACCATTCCACATCTGCCGTGGCCTGCTAAATCCCCGAACCTGAATCCCATAGAACATGTGTGGAACATATTAGGAGGACGAACAGTACGTCTCAATGTGCCGCTAGGGACCTTCCACGAGCTCCGACATGCATTACTACAAGAATGGACACTATTGCTACAACAAGCGATAAACGGCACCATTGCCTGCTTGCCTGACCGTTGCGAAGCATGTATTTCAGGTAGAGGGTATCATACCAACTATTAGCGTAATGTTTCCATTGCATATTCTGCTGATCCATTTGGTCTTTCACGATATGATGGCCATAATATATATATTTTTCTATGGCTTTGTTTTACTGTTCGCACTGTGGTCTACTAATACCACACCAACCTCCTGGATCAGTTTCACGCATATTCATTAAATAGTTTTTGTTTTATTCCGTGTTTTGGCTTTATTGCTTATTTTTTAAGCAGGTGTCTTTATGTGTGTATGATTTAATCTAATGTTTTATATAGGAGTAGATTAGACAAATAGCAAAATAAATTATTATCTCCGTATCAGCCGGAATATGATCCGTGAAAGTAACAAATGGAAAAATCAAAGAACTTCAGAAATAAATAAATAAAATAAGAAAAAAAGAATTCCGATTCAGAAAAGTGTCTGAGAATAGAATTATCAAGAGAACTACAAGAACTAATAAAAGAAGTTGCTAAATTTAAAAAAAAATTACAACGAATAACAATTAGTAGGCAACAGGAATCAGCAGCAATATTGCTTGAATTCTTTAATAAATTGCTAAATATATCATAAAAACCTCTTCAGTATTTACTATGAGATAATAATTTTAGTATATATTTTAGTATATAGAGAAATAGATATCTAGATGAATAGATAAATACAGTTATCTAAAATGTAAGGAGAATCTAAACTACAATATCATACGAATTCAGTCTCCAAAGTTCGTAGACACAAGTGTCGATTGGCTTTTCCCAAACAGTGAATTGATTCTAATATGGCTTTTACCTGTAAGATCAAGTTTTAACTTTCGTCGAGAAACAATGTGCAGAACTAGAAAGACTGATCATTTCTGCTTAGGACTACTGAATCCAGCAGTCCCTGCTTAGGATTTAAGTAGTCACTGCTTAGTATCACCAGCCTGCAGTATTCTGTTTGAAATGCCAGCATCGACTTCATCTGTATATAAAGATTTCAAATCGTCGTTTTGCCCAAGAAAAACACGTCGATTCTAAAAGTGTCATCAGGCATCAGCAACGAGACGCATTCGTCGAGATTAAATATGGCCCCCGGAGAGATATTCATCATTTCATGTCTTCCACCCCCCTCCTCCAGAATGCGACGAAACTGAAAAGAAAATTATTGCCTAATTGGTCATGCTCTCTGTAGATCGGAAGCTTTATCAGAACTACATAAAGCAAAGATGACTTAAAAAGGCGGGAAACAGGAAAGCACTTCCTCATTTTCAGCTGGCTTTGCAATGGAAACTACTGCTTGTTTGAAAGATTGCCTAAGGTATCGTCTTTGTTAATTTTCAGGAAAGAGACTAGGGAATACAAAAGAATTTTTTTATCATGGATAGGGTGACGCTATCCAACGTCCTCGAGTATGACAAGCAGACGGTTCAAGTTGATTTTACTTTGAATCTCTAAATAGGTCTTCACAGTTTCTGAAAGGGGAAAAGAAACATTTCTGTCGTAAACTGAGGCCAGTTTCAGAGGCAAAAGGTTGAATGAAAAAAGGTAGCAAATATTTGTGTTTTTAAGACAATGAAGTGATTAACACTTTGATGAAAGTTTTCTAAGTTGTTTTTCCTAAGCGCCGCAGTTGGGCCAGAACAGTGAAAAGTCCTCTTTCAATCGAAATTTCTTGTATAGCTATCCCAGCCATCTCTTCAAGAAAATAACATGGATGGAAGCTTTCGCTAGTTACTGAACTTACAAAGTTATAGACTTGAAAATATAATGAATGTTTAAGAATTCTTTGTTACAGACAGCCCTAATTTGTAGACTACCCTTACGCATTTTTCTTCTAGGCAGGAATTTTAATAATGTAGGCTGGCTGTAGTATAATAATAGTAGATATAATAGTAGGTAGAAACTATAATTTAAAACATTCTGTTTGGAGTAATTTGTGTTAATCTGATAAGTAAGCTCATCATTCTAATAATTCTATTTTTTACATTTGACGATTTCTTAATTATTTTCATTAGCCATTAATTTTTGTTTGTCATAAACAGACGTTGTAGCGAATTTGACAAAAAAAGAATGATCTTTCGTTTATCTTCATTACTTTAAAAATGGTTTTATCAGCATAAGAAACTCAATCATTTAAAAATAAATTTTGTGAGTTAATTGATAAGTATTCTTTTAAATTTATTTATTAATAAAAATAGGTTTATGCTTTCTTTTAACAAGTCAATAGAAAAATTTGTACGATTTCTATATACTATACTCTGAATCTAAAATATAGTATATTGGTTATGTTCAAGTTTTACAGTACTATATATTCTACACTGGTGTGCAAAACTTAAGCAACAATGTAAATTTTAATCAGATAGCCATAAAATTGTAGAAAAGGGGTTCTTGCGTTCAGTACAATGAACACGCAATTCAGTAGAAAGGTCATGCGTATGCAAATGTCAAGAGAAAAACGTCACAGGCTACGTGGACGTACGCAAACGCGTACGGTCGACGCGCTCAACTCAAGATTACCATAAAAGGAAGGATGGAGATGCAATTAAAGACATTCGCTGCAAGTTCAAGGAGTTCTTTCGTGAAATATTGGCTAAAAGAAATGATCTGGGTGACTTCACACGTGGAAGAATGATCGAAAATCTGGAGTAGGGGCGAAGTGTGACCATATAGCTGAAGAGTTCGGAATCAACAAAAGTGGCGTTTCGCGCGTTTAGAAAGCTTTCCAAACCATAGGTGCAGCTATTAGAAAGGTTGGTGGTGTCCATCCCAGGAAAACAACTGCAGCAAATAACTGATATATAGTCCTGCAGACGAAAAGAGCCCGAAACCAGTCAGCAAGCGCCGCAGCTCAACAACTGTGAACAGCAACGGGCGACAATTGTCGTGGTTTACTGTGTCCAAATACCTTCACAAAGGGGGTCTATGCGCTTGCCGTCCTGAACGCTGCATCTCTTTGAAAGCTGGCCATCGGCATCACCGTTTACAGTGGTGCAAGGAGCGCAAAAACTGGGCATCTCACCAATGGAATCGTATCCTCCTCACGGATGAGAATCGTTTAGTGCCACAAGCGATTCTCAACATAAATTGATTTTGAGAGAGGTCGGGACACGTTTAATCTCAGTAACATTAGGGAAAGAGACCGTTACGGTGTTCTGAAGATCTTGTCTTGAGAGGCATTATGCTGAACGGGCGGACAGAGCTCCTGGTTTTCGACAGAAGTTCTATAACCAGAGATCCCTATCGTCAGGAGGTGATTCTTCCCCATGTGCGTCTGTTGCGAGATGCCATTGGAGCAGACTTCGTTTTTATGGATGACAATGCACGGCCACGCCGGACTCTTGCTGTTCAGAAGCTACTAAAAACTAAAGATATCACTCGAAGGGATTGGTCAGCGTGCTCCCCTGATTTAAACCCCATAGAACATGTGTGGGATGCTATGGGGGACGCTTGTGTTACGATTGCATTCTCCGGGGAACACTCAGCAACTGAAACAGATGCTGATTGAGGAATGGGCACTCTTACCTCAAGATCTGTTGGACAATCTGGTGCTGAGTCTGGAGAGACCGTTCGAAGCAGCCATTGCAATAAGGGAAGGGCATATCCCATACTAAGGAACACCTGCTTGGTGTTCTTCCTCTTGTACAGACAATCATGTGTAACGATACTATGAGTTCAATAAAGCCCGTTTTTCTTTGATTCCATATTGTATGCATTGTATTACTTTTTAGAGCAATTATGATTTCGTCATCGTTTAAATACAAAATGCTGTCTCTTAATTCTGAATTTCATGTCTCAGATGTTTTCTCGTGGAGTTATGCCAAAAAGAACACCCGTTGCTTAAGTTTTGCACACCAGTGTATATAACCACGATATTTTCTTCTCCAAAACGGCTATCCACGGATCCAGATGACTTTGGTCACTTGTGGAGAGGTGTGTCTTTGAGAAGTGATGCTCAATACCGATGATTGTTTATATTCTCAAAAAATGCTTTCACATTCTCAGAAATGCACTTTCACAGGTGCCCACCTCCTTTCTATGTTCTTTATTTTTCTTTTATGATTACCAAGGTCATTAGACAAACAAGGTTATGCTCTTTCCAATACTGAGGTAGCTAAGTTACAGAAGTGGAAAATCTAAGACGCAAAAGGAGAAGGAAAAAAAGTTGGTTTTTAACAGACTAGGAGGCAGTGACGTCATACAAAAGCAAATCTTATTGTATAATAACCTTGATGATTATTGCGAACCAATGCATCGTATTTCTTTTCTTCCCTAATTTTCTTGAATCTGTTGCATACGTATTTTCATATTTTGACTTTTCTCCTCTGTTTTACTACTTTATGTTCAAAAGAGAAATTCATAAACAAGCGCTGGACATTTTGAAGTTAAATTTCTTTTTCAGTTGAACTTGAATTCTCTTCACCACTAAAACTTTATTAGTTTAGTAATTTTATTCAATCGAAAAACATTCCTTAACTTTGTGAACTTTCTTCAATCAATCGAAAAACATTCCTTAACTTTGTAAAAGTGGGTATTATCTTTATTTAAGAGGAAAAATGAAATATTTATATGATTTTTACATTTTTAGTTCTTTTCCGTTAGTCTTATTTATTTTTTTTATGATTATTTCTTAGCCTGAAATTTTCAGGTTGCAAACATTTTTAATAAGATTTTTCTTATTACTTTAATTATCGATGTCAATTTATTTTTGGCATTACGAATCTGTGAGATACTTCCCTTCGTTACTATGTAAACCTGGTGGCTACATATGAATAGCTAGCTCCATACGTCACGCACGTGTAACGATGAAGCGCACATCTGTATATAGTATTCAGACACCACGTTTCAATTCTCGCATTTTTATAACAATGCTCAAAGAACTGTTATTATACTCTTTCTTAACCTCTAAATCAAAATCCTTGTTTTATTCGGCATTTGTTCCATATTCAGTCATCTGCAACGTCATCTTATAATATTGTCTAAAAGAGGCAGGCACGTCCTATCCACAGAAATCTGATTAATTAACTATTAATCTTAACTATCACGAAAGGTTTTTTTTCCGCAAGGTATGAATGTCACTTCTCAGAATTTTTCCATACCGGCATTCCTTAGCTCTTTGAGATTTTTTGAGGTTGTTAAGCTCCATAGCAGATTGAAAAAAAGCTATTTAATAGACATATTCTTGGAATTATACATTCATATCTGTGACCGATATTTTTTCTGTCTCCATGAAGTCCCCTTTATTTTTTAATATTTTTTTGCTCAGCTGGTATAGTCCATCGGCGGTAAGTAGGAAAATGGACTTGGATCTTTATATTTTTAAAACGGTACTATGGTATTAGGAATGCTATGAATGCAAAGACGCTTGGTACCGTTCCTTCGTAAAAAAAAAAATAAAATTCAAGTGACAGGTACATGCAGTTGTTTGGCTTTTAATCTCTTTTCAATGTTTATCAATTGTGTCATTTTTTATGTTATTACTTTTTATTTGGGGGTGAACGTTTATTCCTTACAGGCATTTTTTCCATTCTATGCATTTCCCGACCAATTTTTAAGGACATTTTCGATGAATTTTAAGGTCATCAGAATCTGCCTGATAATAACGAAAGAATCATTATATAATTGTCCATTTTCTTGCAAAATATTCTTTTTTTTTTATAAAACATTCAAACATAATTTTTTTAACATTTACACGTCACCATGATTCGCAGTATATTTAGGCAAATCGATGCAAATGTACTTATTCGGATACTTAAGTGTACAAACTTATGTGTAAGATAGTAACACAATAAAAAACAGAATTAAATTAGAAACATAGAAAGCCAGAAAGTATACATTCTATAAATTGCCTTTCCGAAAATTTATATGGTACAACTCCAGAAGAGAGTAAAAACTTATTGACTTCTTCGGTCGATGGAAACAATCGCAACTTGAACAAAACGTCGACCAGTGAAACCGAAGAATTGGTAATGACCTTAAACGCAGTCAAGAATGAAAGGGAAATAAATGATCCCGCAGGAAATTTCTACCCCTTTTGAGAAAATATCGAATTTCTTGCAGAATATCGGAACGAGTTGATGAAATCGAAGTTCTGGTGATTGATGAGATAACAAGGGACCTTTATTCTTTCTGCAATTTAGAAACGTAAGAAAATTCAGCAGTTAGTCTCCGAAGACTCAATTGTTATTTCTTTCATCTTGTGAACCACGCCTATTGAACAAGACAGATTTGGCTGCCCGTAAAGGCACCTGAATCGATTTGCATTACAGTAACACAGATAGATGGCAAATAGTTAATATTATTGTTCTGTAAGTTGTATAATTTTTTCATTTAACTTATAGTTAAAATGGAAGAATATATAGAAACTTATAGAGAAAACTCTTGCCGAACGCGAGGGTTATGTCAATAATTCATTGCGCGTATGGCAAAATATCTTTCCGTGACGTTAAATTGTGTTAAAAATGTATTAGGTACAAATCAGACTGAGAAAGTGTAAATAATTTAAACAAGCCTAAATATTGTTCTGTTTAAAAATGAAGAAACGAAACAAATGTTATTTGAAAGTGTCACTATTATTGCATAATAAGTACATCATAAAATTATTTTTTTAAAAGCTGGTAATTAATTGAGACAATAAATGAAGTAACTTTTTAGTAGTTTCGCTGTACGCAGCGAAAGGTTTTTCAGTGTCCTTCAAAAAGTTTCTTTCTATCTACTTTTTTCATATGGATCAATCTCCATGGCCAAATCAGACAATTCCTGTGCCTTCTTTAACAATTCGTTTAAATTCTTGTGAATTAAAAGGCGCTTTATATTTTTTGTTATCACCGCTTTCATTGAATGCTAATGTTTAATATTATACTTATTCATCGTTTCTCATTTTTCCCTGTAATGGTTATTAATACCTAACACTGTTTGATAATAATTAACATTTAATTACATCGTTAAACATCATAATTATTGTTTAACAATGCGTTTAACTGAAACACTCTGTACAGTGAAGTTTTTGATTAATTTTATGAGTTGAATTATTTTATTATATTATATTACTCATTGTTGACCAAAGTTTGAGTTATGCTGTAAAATAAAACATTAAAATAATTATTCTATCTTCGTTTAATCTTTATTTAAAATTACTTATTTATTATTTAATTCCGTTTGATCCTGTTGCCGAGTCTCAAAATGCATATACAAGTGGATTTATTCTATAAACTTTAGTTTTCTCATTCTCATTTGCATGCAATTCTTACCGTTGAGAATTTCACAGGTTCAATTTTTGGATTCAGTGTATGTACTAAATTTGAATATCTGCTTATCAGAAAGTCGGTTAAAAATCGATGACAAAATTCCACTCAGACTGAAACATCATGATTGAACTAAATAACAGATTATGAAAAGCATGAAAATTTGTGAAATATTTTTTATGTTAATTAATAATAATTAATAATATAATTTAATGTAATTTTGAAACTCAAAAACTATTTAAATTCAAAGAAACTGAGGACTTTTTTCTTATTTCTGCCATTTATAAACAATTATACACATTAATTTAGTGTAAATAAAAAGCTATTGTTATATATTACTGTAATAGTTATGATATTATTATTTGAACATATTACCTTAAAATGTATCGACCGTAAAAGTAAGCGTACGTATTCAATTCGTATTGCGCGTCGGCATACCTTTTTGCCTTGGTACAAAATAATTAGACATGGCTCTACCTAGAATTATAAGGAAGTAATGCTCACTTTTGATTATGTGATCAAAATTCAGTACATGTTAAAAACTCTATTCTAATTATGTACTCTATTCAGTACATAATTAAAAATATTGCATTTCAGGCTCAGTCTGATTTAACCGATCAAGAGACAGTTGTTTATCCGGATCAAATGGAAAGTTCAAGCTTAGCTCTCAGATTTCGTCTAAAACCAGATGTTCTTCATAATGGAAGAGTTATTGTGAAGTGCGTGGCCACAATTAAACACATACATGCCGCCACTGTCAAAGAGATCAGAACTGCAGGTAAGCAAATGAAAAGTATAAATGGAATCTGAGGCAAAGTTTAACATAAAATCATCATTCGAGAATAATGGTCTTTAAAATAAATAAACTTTAAATTCACTTCAAATGGTATCGTCCTTTCTTAAATCTGATATGTAAAACGAGTTTGTATTTTTTTTCCCCTTTTCAAATGTGCATTTTACGTTTGCTTCGCTTAACTTTATTACGTATAATTTCATACAGGAAAAGAATTTACTTGAATTAACTTTTAGAAAGTCGAATGTTTTTTTATTATCAATTTAAAATCAGTTTATAATTTAATCTTTAGTTTTGTAATTTATATCAGTATCACCCTATCAAAATATGATAATTATTAAAATTTTTAATGATTATATGTGACAAAAAAAAATAAACTGAGAATAAAAGTGAATATAGGTTTGTTTTGGAATTCACAGTATCAAAATATGGTAATTAAAACAATTTTCAATGAATATTTGCTATAGGAAAAAAAAAATGAAGGGAAAATTGAAATAAAAATTTTCTTGCTTTGCGTACGCAATTTTTTTTTCAAAGCATTTCAAGCTAGTCTACATATTTCTAAAATTACCTTTTAAACATTTTTTACTAGTGACATGGTTAAAATGATAAAACAGATTTGCATATAGTTTCATTATAATTAAGAATAACATTCATAATGAATTCAAAGAACTGATCATTGCATATAGTATTCATGCAAAATCTATGAATTAAGATATAACTTCACCGGCTTAGAACTAATGAATTCAGGAAGAACTGGTATCATGTGCAACATTTTCAATATAATATAAAATTAGTGATGCAAAAATCTAATGAACTAAACAGATGTATATATAACTTTTTCTCATAAATCCATATACTTCACCGGCTTCGTGACACAGATGCGAGATAATGTGTAAGTTATAACAGCATGTACCACGTTAGTCACAAAAGTAAATTGTAGTATACTTATAATATATATATATATATATATGTGTGTGTGTGTGTGTGTGTGTGTGTGTGTGTGCATTAAATATTTAATAGGAAATTGTATATAAAGTGTGTATAGTAAATTATATATGAAGGATGCATATACGAACAGAGGAAGCGAAAAGTTGGATGTAATTGTATAGTTGGATGCCCCATTCATAGATGCGTGAACTACTTAAACAAACTGAGCACAAACGAATGTTATATTGTAAAGATGAAAAAAAATAGACAATTACGGCAAATGTTATGAAATAACGAGGTTGTCTCACGAATTATCAACTCTGAAGTTGGATATATTTTCACTGTAAATGTAGACCTTTCTTGTCTCAGTACCCAATTAGGCAAAGAAACTTGATACTAGTAACCGACTCAAAATTATATATTTAAACAATAAAGAAGCGAGAAGAAGGCACTGTACTAAAAAAAATTAAAGAAATGTTTACCAAGACGAAAAAAATAGCATCTTTCGAAAATTTCTCAAAAATTTAAATGAACTCATCGATGCTTGAAAAAGAGTTCATTTTCCTATTTAAAGTTTTATATCGATCTAATAGCCTAATTACTAATTCAGGTAATTTAAACTTGAAAAATGTTTCGCATCTCAAAATGTAGCAGTTTCAAATTAGATCCCCCCCTCAATCAACTGCTGCTGGATACCTCCTATTCGGACTTTTTTACTGGTATTTTATTTTTCAACTTCTAAAATCAGCGTAATCTGGAACTTAAAGCTATACAGCTTTCTAGCTGACATTCCCAACGGTGTCGGAGTTTACCTCCCTAGAGGTCGATGAGATTTTATAGGAGAGTGATGATGATCAAAGTGTCGACAGCCAAACGTGCACAGACAATTGATACACATAATCAAGATTCCATTGATTACAGAAAAACGTATCAATAATACTGATAATTTATTTTTTATTGATATAAAGCTGTATGGCGTATTAAGAGAGAAGTGATATAAAATATATATCTATAATAAAAATTTTAATAAAAAAAATACTAAAATTACTCAAAATATTTTTAAATAAATAATATTTTTTAAATAAATAAATTTTTATGTAATAAATGGAATATATGAAAGTAAAACGCAAGAAAAAAAACCACAGTCAAAAATATATCAATATATATATATATATATATATATATATATATATATATGAAGCACGCAAAATTAGAATGGAAAACAGGAAATAAGTTAAATATTTTTGAACGATGTGATTTAAGCAGTTTCATGCCAAAAACTATAGCTCTGTGTAAGAAAAAATTCGCCCCGGTGGTTTTTTATTAAGTTACCGATTGACTGAGTTTTGTGCATACTTTTCTAGCCTTGCATTCTGTGAGCATATATTTTAAAACACTGTGCAAGGTTTTTCTATGTTAATCAACCAGTTATTATGATTTTGATCTTTATTCCAATTTCTTCTTTCCGTATTCCTCACCAGAATGCAAATTAGTTTTGTGTGAATTTAAGTTGAGGGCTTTGAATCTTAGAGGGAGAGAGCTTCTGACACCTGCGTTTTTTGTTAGTTTTTCGCCAGATCTATTTAAGATATTCCGGTGTTGGCATTTTCGCTAGCCGATGCGTTAAACTTAGCGCCGTTAAAATAACTGAGCTGGCTTATTTCTTATTCTGTTGAATGCGTAGTCTTAGATTACGTTGCTCGCGTTTGAATTTAATCATCTGTTATTGCTTAATTTAGATAGTCACAAGTGTTGCTTCATACGTAGCACAAGTTTTGTCCTTATGTTCATTTTCGACTAAAGAAAAAAGGTTATTTTAAATCTTCTCCTGTATTTGTGGTTTCTTATATGTGTTTTACACGTATTTTGTATGCGTCTAGTGTATGTGTTTGTATATGATGTAATTTGTGTTTAACAAACCAACATGTAACAAATAATTCGCCTATCGATCAAAACTAATGTATTCTTAAGACGCCCCTGTATTCCCATGCACAATTACGTGAAATTCTTCAATAAGCTCCCGAGGTGGCCTCATGAGGCTCTAGGGAGTTGCTGCGACTAGATAGGGGAGGGCGCGGAATATATACCTGTTTACCTCTGTTAAACACCAGGCGTCCCCGTCCTCCGTCACCTGTCACCTGTATTTGTGGTTTGTTGAGACGTAGCAATAACTCGCTATTCATATCTGTAGAGTAGTAGTCTAATAGTAGACATAGTAGGGTCTTTAGGATTCAGGTTTTAGCTCTAGTTATCAATAGCATCCCTCCTACAACTCTTAGAAGTTAAGTCTTAATGATTCTGCAATATTGCTCTGAGGTTTTGGCAAAAAGAATGGATAACGCGAAGATTAAAGAGGAAAAATATCGAAAGTTCCATCTGAAAAAAAAAATACTAATGAATATAAAATAAATATATGAAATAATAAAATATTTAATACATGAAAAAATATTAAAATATTTGAAGTTTATTAGAATTTATAGACGTTTTATTTCAAATTATATTTATCTTAAATTACAAATCTTTGTAACATATTAGCCATATTGCATGTAAGTTCATGGCATATTTCTGAATGCCAGCTCATGAAACTAAAAAAAATTAATGCTTGTTAATTTGTATTAAAATCATTTTAAAGAAATATAAGTATTCATTCATGGCAACGCACTGCATTTTCCGCAATCATTCGAATCATTATAAATGGGAGGAGTTAATCCCCAGCGCAGTCGAGCTCACTAAACAGATGTCAAAGAGTTCAAAAGAAACTACAACAGAAAGTTTCCTTAAAATGTCAGTTTTATCTCTTTTGTAGCTCTTTTACTAAAACATTTCATAGAATACTGTTAATCCCTGTTTTGTTGCTCTTCCTTTTTTCATTTAGGTTTGAAAAAAGCGGAGCTTCACACATGGCTGCTTTTCGCGGCGGTCGCAACATTTATAATCCTGCAAGTGGCACAGGCTTAAGCGCTGAGGATCAAAATAAAGTGACATTTCTTTGAAGCCAAGTGACACAAAAGGAAGCCTTTGTCCTAGAACATTTGTAAACGTGCATAAAAGAATAAGCAATATGTATGGATGTATGCATACGAATGCATTCTTCAGTGATAAATAATCTCTTCTTTATGCTGTAAATAGTAAAAGAATTATGATCTATTTAAAAGAACAGTGAAGCATTGCGAATGAATAAAAGTATCTATTTATTGTTGTTCTTATTATTTCTCGTCTTTTTCTTTTAACCCACATTCTTATTCTTTGCTATAAGAGAAAAAACCGGAAAAAAAAATGTTTCACAATTTTTAAAACAGCTTTCCTTTTTTTTTTTTAATTAATTGCTAAGATCCATTTGGTATGTAATGACCAAAGTCCGGATTTGGGAGCATTTTAGAACATTTTGAGGCATATTACAGTAATTAAAAGAAAAATAAAGTTACACTTGAAATAACACTGCCTCAACTTATTTTTACTGTGCAGGAATGCCTTATGCACAGAAAACTGATTATGTAAATGTGTTAATCTTATCTATTACGGCAGGCTATTTCCACGATGGATGAATGTCACCTCTAAGAACTTTTCCACACTGGCATTTCTTACCTCCTTAAGCCGTTCGTGCATGTTCACTTCTATGGTGTTTCAAAATATTCTAAGATCTATAAATCGACATCAATCACTTTTAAAGTGTAACTTTTAATATGTACAATATTTACAGATCATAGATCAAACATGGTGGTTCAGTTGACAAATAAATCTATATGCTTTCATAATCGAAAATCGAAATCAAATAGGAACCGAAATGTTCCTAATCAAATAGTGTGCGAACCATCAGACATCCATCTCTCGAGCTGCCGGTGGAAAGTCTATGGAAATTCAGAAGGCACGTCGCGTCGCCTTAACACGCTACGCTAGCGCCATCTATCAATTAATCAAAATAATTTCCACACACTCCCCACCTGAACTCTGTCAAGAGTTCACATCAATCTAACAACAATCAAATTTATAGCAATAAGTATTTTAACATATAATTATAAAACAATTGATAAGTATATTAAATGAATAGAAAATATTTTCAAATTATAATCACTATACTAAATTCTAAAAAAAGGTATGTTATCATCAAATATAATTTGACACTCAGTAAATTTAAACGATTCTTAATCTAAGCATATGAATTAAACTAGTAAAATAAACAATTGCATAAAAAACATATTCAAAACATATTCATATTATTAAAACAATAAAAAAAAATGTTTTTTAAAGTTTCCAAAGGATATAATAATTGAACTGGTCGTTTATTATTTCCATCAGCAGTTTTTAGTTCACAAGAACGAACTTTGTTGTCACGACCACGAAAAACGTTTATCACTCTACCACAATTCCACAAAAGTTTGCACTTATTGTTGCCTTCAATTAATACAAGATCATCAACTTTTAGATCATCATAAACGTTAGGATTTTTTAATTGATGAGCTGGTCCGAAGATCCATCAAATATTGTTTTTTTTTTTTTTTTTTTCCATTTAGTCCACAATTGCTTAACCAATAAATCTTGATAAATCTTTCTTTTAGTCAGAGAGAACTTGGTAGAGCCATCTTTAAACAATGGAATTAAAAAAGTTGATAGGTAATGTAGAATCTTTGTTTCCAAAAATCAAAAAATTGACTGGCTTCAGTGGCAACGGTTCCTTGTGGTCATTGTACACATATGTCAAAGGACGAGAATTCAAAACAGCTTCCACTTGTGCTAAAACTGTTGACAATTCTTCAAACGTTAGTAAAGCTTTGCCGAGAATTTTTCGTAAGCACTCTTTCACTGATTTTACTAATCTCTCGTAGAAGCCTCCCCACCAAGCCCCTCGTTCTATTATAAACTTCCAACTGATTCTTTCATTCGACAGAAAATCTTGGAATTTCTCCATTCGACAATAGTTTAGAGAAATGTTCGAGTTTCTTTTTTTCCCTTTTTAAAAGTTTTTTCGCGTTGTCCGAATAAATTACTCGACAATTGCCTCTCCTAGATGTGAATCTTTTGAATGCCATCAAGAAAGAATCTGTAGAGAGATTCGGTACAAAGTTCCAGATGTAATGGCTCTAGTGATAGCGCATGTAAATAATGTTACATAGGCTTTTTGACTTCCTTCAATGTTTTTTACGTAAATTCGTCCAGCAAAATCTATGCCAGATACGTAGAATGGTGGTGTCTCATTGATTCTGTCTTCTGGAAGTTGAGAAGTGGTTTGGTCAGCAGACTTCAATGAATATCTTTTACAAATAAGACACTTGTTTATTATTTTCTTGATAAATTGACGTCCTTTTGGGATCCAAAAGCGACTTCGAATTTCAGCTAAGGTCGTTGCTACTCCTCCATGCATCATTTTAACATGTGCACTTTCTACTATCAAATTTGTTAGCCAGGAGTCTCTTGAAAGAATTGCCGGATGTTTTTTCATCATGTGACAAACTAGAATGTTTCTAATCTTCCACCTGCTCTCAGTATCCCGTTTTGGTCTAAAAATGGGTTAAAAAGTTATAAAGGATGATTTCTTTTCGACTTTATTCGCTTTCTTCAGAGACTCGAATTTCTTTGGGATTAAAAACGTTCTTGTTCAGATCGAAACCAATAATTTTGGCATCTACTATTTCTTCAGTCTTTAATGGACCTGTCCAAATGGTTTGTTTTCCTTAATTTTACCAATGAATCGTTTCATCCAACCAGTTATTCTTAACAATTTTCCTAAATGACTATATTTTGAGATGTCTATAATCCTTTCTTCAACTGCCGTGCATACAAATTCATAAATATCATTAATATTTTTGCGGTATTCTAATTCTTCTTCAGTGACAGGTTTCACTTCATTCTGTCGAGGCCACAACTCAGACGACATTCTAAGCCATTGTGGTCCTTGAAACCAGATAGGATTGTTTTTCAAATCTGGAAGTTTAGCTCCTCTCGAAGCCAAATCAGCGGGATTACATTTACCGGGGCAATAATGCCAATCTTCTGGGGATGTCAAATTTTGAATTTCCTGAATACGATTTTTAACGAAAAGCTTAAATTTCTTTGCACAGTCTTTTATCCAGAAAAGTGTGATTTTCGAATCAGTCCAGAAAAAACAAGAAGGTTGTAACTTCAAAACTTTAATGATGCTAGTGCCTAATTTAGGCTGACAAAAGAGCTCCCATTAGCTTCCAACCTAGGTAAGGTGAGCGGTTTTAAAGGCGCTACTCCCAGGCTTTGGAAGCAACAAAAACCGTAAATATTTGTTCATTGCTAGAAATTTATACGCAGATACGCTTACTGTACTATACGCCTTTTTGCTAGCGTCAGAAAAACAGTGCAGTTCAATCCTTTTCCTCACATCCTCACATTACTATTGACAATTGCAGAAAAATAATATCGTGGGAATACCGATTTCGTCCAAATTGGAAACTTTCTTGCACCATGTTTTTCCATAACAGAACATGTAAATTTTCTGGTAGTTCATCATCCCAATCTAAAGCAAGTGTCCAAATTTGCTGCAATATGATTTTGACTCTAAGTACAAACGGTGATAATAGACCTACAGGATCAAAAATTCGTCCTATTGCTTGTAGGACGAAACGTTTAGTATTAACTTGTTTTTGAGAGAAATGTTATCAAATTTTTTACATCAAAGTAAATTATGTCACTTTGGTTGTCCCAAAGCGACTCCTAACACTTTCAATGGAGGATTTCCAGCTTCCGAAACATGACTAGATTCCTTGGATTCAATACCTTCTTTAATCCATAATTCGCGCAGTTCTTGAGAAATTGGTGTGTGCCATTTATGTAGAATCATACTAGCATCTCTAAAAATGCTAACGCATTCTAAACTGGTATTGAAAGCAAGTTCAAACGTTTTGGTGTCCTCCAATGATGTCATCTACATAAAATGTGATCATTTAGAAATTCGCAAGTGGCAGGGTAGGTTTTCTCATATTGTTTTCAAATGGTGTTTAATGGTTGCAGCCAGTAAAAATGGACTGCTATTTACGCCAAATAACACACGTGTGAACCGATAAGTTATAAAATTTTGTGGATCATCGAATGGGTTTTTAGTAAACAGAAAAACGCGTTACATCTCTGTCCTTCTCATCTACTTCTATCTGAAGAAAAGCCTGCTTTATGTCACTTGTAAATGCTACAGGATGATGAAGCCTGATGGCCAACAAGAAGTTCAAGAATGTCAGGATACAAAATTTGGACCAATATGCAAGCAGTCATTTAAACGAGATTTCACCAGGTCCATGTGAAGACGCGTCGAATACGATACGTAGTTTACTAGTAGTTCGATCACTACGAACGATTTCTCTGTGAGGCAAATAAAAACGTGATTTGAGATTCACTATCAACAGTGTCTGGAAACTGGTTTCAATGATGTTTTGTTGTAAATAATCTTGTAGAACTGTTTGATACGAATAAAAAGAGTTTCAGGGTTTATTCTGAAATCGCTTTACAAGTTTCTCAAATCGTTTCAGCGCAATCGCTTTATTGTCATGTAACTCATATTTTTATCAGACTTCCATGGCAGCCCTAACCTTGTAACGAGAATTTCTGTATAAAATTTCCGATTCGAATTTTTTCCATTATGGTATTGTCTAATGGGTCGGATGATTCATTTTCAGGTTTTATACCCAAACTTTCAAGGCTCCCAAAATTTCTTTATTTGATCAGATATATCTTTCTCAACTACGATATTAAAAACTGTGGAAGTGTGTTACGTTGTACCTGTTAGTGTAACCTAGCAGAGACCAAACCGAATAACGTTTCAGCAGCTACTAAATGTTTGTCTTAAACGCTTAAGGTTTCCCAGTTTCACTATACCATAATAATAATCAGCTCCTATCAGAAAGAGTAATTTTTTCTTTGCAATCCCAAGAATCTGCGAGTTGTAAACCTTCTAACTGTTTGCCTAAAATGTGTCTCTATCCAGATTAGGAGGTGGTAAATCAGAACTTGAAATTTGTTCAGTCACGAGAGCTTCAATTTCGAATTTCAAATTCGGTGTTTCCTTGTTTCTGTAATTTTATCTTAACAACGTCAAATGTTTTTTCTAATGGGTGTTTTATTTCCAAACGTAAATACCGAAAGAGTCTCTGTTCGAATAACAGGAAGCTTCAATTTATCCGCGATTTCTTTTCTTAGGAAGGAACGCATACTACCTGAATCCAG